GAGACACCTGTTTGTGCTTCAGACAGTATAGCTCCTGTTCTGCCCTAAAATTAGTTCTTTAAGTTCAGGCGAACCTAAAAAATAAAGTAAAAGTCAGTCCTATGATAGTCTGGGTCTGGTTTTATGTTTATGCGAGACTTTACCAAAAAATAACGTGCCAACTGCGTTACTTGTCTGTATTTCGGAAAAAGCTTTAATAGATTATTGCGTTTGTGATTGTGGAGGTGACTGGCTAGCCATCTACCACTTCTTTTACATCTTTCAATCTAACTCCATGTTTTTTGGCTAAATGTGGTTGGAGTAGCTTGTTGCTCTTTGAAATCTGCCTATCCCCTCCGGGCTTACAGGTGTGACGTTATGCTGTGGTTATAAAATAAAATTAAAAACAAATGTCTTGGCAACGAGTAGTTTTCGCTTCATCATCATCACTTTTAGAATCTATCTAAATGCACTGTTGAAGCGCCTGCGCCTTCTTTCTGAGCAAAGAGTTAAACAACGTACTTGTAGTAATTACGTTTGTATTTAACGTTAATTTTAAACAGGTTCTTTGTCTTTGCAATATTTTATTATCCTCTCAGCTGTTGTAAGATCAATACAATTGTCCAAGACCACATTCAAGTTGCATTATTTTAAAATTCCCGTAAACTCCCAAACATGGTCCTGGATCGTCGCCGGATATAAAATAATAAGAACCAGAATTTATATTATACTTGTATATGGTTCATTTGGTGGAGTTGACGTTGGAATCGAATTTGGAGTTACGTCGCCGCCATCAAGAATGTGGGTCAATTTGCAGTAATTACGTGGTATTGAAGATAACATTTAAGAATTATCATCATCCAACACTCTAAAATTAAGGCAATCTAATAGTATTTGGTGTAAATAATCGGACTTATAAGGTTAGTGAATCTATTGTTCCTATCGATTATTAATTACCTACTGCATTGTGGTTAAAATTCGCAATTTTTTTAATAATTTGCAGTAATTAAGTAAAAAATTGTATTGTAAGTGTTACGGCCTACAGCTGCCTAAATAAGAGTAGAATCTTCCGGGTCCATAGCGGAAGACCTTACAAGCAGATGCAGGTCGGGCCTCAGCAAGGGGCCGCGTGAAAAGTCTCTAATTACAATAAACAATAAGGGGGAGCGTTCTATACTACTGCCATTCAACAGGGAGAATATTAAACCGAGCTTACTTACCTATATCCAAGGCGACTGGTCCCTCAGGATTCGGTCAGGTCGCATGTGGTTGTGTGGTGCAAGGGAAATAAGGTGCTGTGATGTGTATCTAGGTGTGACTGGTGGTGATTGACCTTATTAGACCTTTGCCGTCGCCAGCAGCCCGGACGTCAGCACCGCTCCAAATTGAGGTAATTTTCCGCGGAGATTTCTTGTGGAGACTTTCCGTCCACAGTCACTTTCTTCGTTCGCCACGATGACAGTCCATTAACTCTATCGTACGATTAACTAACTTACAGAAGCCACGTTTCGCGTGGCAACCGTTATTTCTAGAATACCAAATACGGCACTAGCTAATATTGTCGAATGCACTTATATAGATTCTGAGTCAGACAGAATGAGTCCCAGGTGAAGCTCTCAAGCAAGAAATGCGCGTTACAAATCCCAGACGGTATATTTACTAGACGCGCCTAAATTATTCCAAGTTCCCGACAAAAATGACAGCGTGCTGTTCCAAGCACAGCTGGCAGACGACTCCTCTTTGCCCTCGCACATTCTACGCACGACGTCAATCCCGAAATCAGCGTTCGGGCGTAAACAGTAAGGATACTGTTAGAAATTAATCTACATATTCTAATTTTTGCTTATTTACATTATTTAATATAGTTGTGCAGTAGAAATCGTATAGTAGCATTGATTATTATTACCTACACCAAGTAAATATTTTTAGGATTTAATTATTATTTATTTTCTTGTTAAAAACTTGTGTTTTATAGTAATAAAATTATACTATTGTAATGGCGTAATTTTAGCGTAGGGAGATTGTTAATTTTTTGATTTAGTGGGTATATAATAATTGAATTAGGTATTGTAAGTAGCTTAAATAATAAAATTAAGTACTATTATTTGAATGTCGCGAAATATTGTGTAAAGTTACTTGTCACTATAATATTATTAAATTATTATTTGCCGAGTTAGTACCTGTAGCTACATACTGTATAATATAGTTAAGTAGTTTTTCAGAGCTTAGTAGTTAGTTAGTGCATTAGATAGTCGGAGATTGTTTTTGAATATTTATAATTGTACACATTCCAGATCGAATACTCTCATCTTCCAGAATGACCGAAGAAAAGGAGTTTGATCAAAAAACGAGGTAGTTTTAAAGGCCGCTTAACTGCTTTCATTAGTTACGTGGATTCACTTACTACACCTTTACAAAATCATGACGCGACGGAATTGCAATTGCGTATGGGTAAGCTGGACACATTATATAACCAATATGAAGAGGTGCAGTTACGCTTGGAAAGTATTGTCGACAAGCCCGACTTACAACTAACTGAGCGTTCATGCCTTGAATGTCAGTATTACAAGGCGCTCGCCAAAGCTCAAATGTTACTGAGCGATCACCATAATACTAACTCTGAATCGGCAGGTAATGACAAGAGCTCTCAGACAAGAATCAGTGATCATAAGTTTGTTAAGTTACCTATTATACAGTTACCAAAATTTAGTGGATCATACGAGAACTGGTTGGAGTTCCATGATACCTTCAATAGCCTTATTCACTCTAATGATGAAATCGATGAAATTAATAAATTTCATTATTTACACGCGTCTTTCGAAGGTTCTGCTGCTGTGATAATTTAATAATTTCAGTTTTCTGCAAGTAACTATACAGTGGCATGGAATGTCTTATGTGAGAGGTTTAACAACAAACGATTGTTAGTTCAAAATCATGTGTCAGCCTTATTTAACCTTGAAACGATTACAATGGAGTCGTCTGTAACTTTAAAACGCTTAATCAATTTATTAATTAAAAAACTGAGGGCATTAGAATCGTTAGGCGAACCAGTTCAGCATTGGGACACGCTTCTAATTTATATAGTTACACATAAATTGGATCAGAAAACCTACCGTGAGTGGGAGGAGTTTAAAGGTCATTTAAAAAAGGATGAATCAGTTACATTTAATATATTTCTCCAAGTAGCCAAGCTGATCTACTCGAAACTTTAGAGACGTCGCGTAATGTTCACTTTGCACCGCAAAGGCCGAGTCCTAAATTAAAATCTATGGTTTCGGTGCAACAATCGAATATTCATAATATAAACTCAAATAAACAATTCAAAGATTGTTATAAATGTAACGGCGATCACAATTTAGCTAGATGTCCACAGTTTCTTGCACTAGACTGAAATTATTACCATCTCACAAGATCTGTTATAATAGTTTTAAGTCAGGACATTTTGCAAACCATTGCAAAATGCCAGGGTGTAAGATATGTAAGCGCCGCCACAACACAATGATTCACGTCACTGAACCGATAGCAAGTCATACCGTACAAAATAAAAATAATTTCTCGCTTAAGAATGAGACGGGCACTCGGACAGGGACTCACTCGTCAATGACACCAACTGCAGGCACTGATGTGAACAACGTCGCTTTATCGGCAAACGTAGCACATCGTAGTGAACAACGAGATGTATTATTATCAACTGCTTTGATAAAACTACCTGATTGTAATAACGTCAAACACGTCGCTCGCGCAATATTAGATTGCGGTAGTACATCTAGTTTTATAACTGAGAATATGCGCAAACGATTAAATTTAGATTTCGTCGAAATAGATAAGTTGATTTTGGGCATTAATAGCATGTACTCTCACGTAAGCAAACGGTGTCGTGTACATTTAAAGTCGTTAGATAATAGTTATTCCGCTAACATTAATTGTTTCGTTTGGCAATCAATTACTAGCAATACCCCAGACCGCGAATTAAGACCCTGCATTTTATAAGCCTGCCGATGTAGATATTTTAATCGGGGCTTATCTCTTTTGGGACTTGTTAGAGTCACAAAGAATTCAGTTAGGAAGTAATAAGCCCATTCTGCATGAAACCAGGCTAGGGTGGATAGTTTCTGGTCCAATTAATGTTCATCATTCTACATTGATGTCTAATGATTTACGATGCAACTTCGCTAAGACTGATTTTTATTTTTGTGGCGATAATAAAGATGACATTCGAATCGACTTAAAGCGGTTTTGGCAGCTGGAGGAAAGAAGTTCCAAGTAATCTCATTATTCACCTGAAGAGAAGTTGTGTGAAGATAATTTTGTAAGAAATACGTCTCGTCTTGATGATGGGCGTTTTTGCGTTCGGTTACCTCTCAAAAAAGATACCGGTCTATTAGGAGATTCATTTAAAAGAGCTACACATTGCTTGTTGTCCTTAGAGCGTAGATTAAAGGGTAAGCCTAACATCAAGCAGATGTATTATGAATTTATGTCTGAATATCAGTCACTGGGACATGTGACAATTTGTGAAAGATCTAATTTAAGTAGTGGCGCGTATTTTTACCCCATCATGGCGTACTCCGTGTAGGGTTACCAGATGAAAAAATTAAAAGTCCGGAGAAGAGGCCTGATTTCCATTTAAAAATCCTGAGATTTTTTTACAGTTTGAGAAGAAAACCTTACTTAAAAAGATATCTTCACATATCAAGTATGATAAAACTGTTTAAGTTTCTAATCGCATAAATAAGTTTTGATTTTAATTGTGGAATTATTAGCAAAGGAAAATTATTTTTAGTTTGTTTAACTTTTTATTAAAGAGATCTTTAAAATGTAAGCTGTATTATATTGAAAGTTCTAAAAATACTGCGATTTCATGAGATTTGCAAAATCCAGCCGCAATCCAGAGAAGAGTCTAAAAATCCTTAAATCTCAGGACAAATCCTGAGATATGGTAACCCTCACTCCGTGAAAGTAGCACAACGACTAAACTTAGAGTAGTTTTTAATGCAAGTATTCCGTTTAACGAAATACAAATGGTCGGTCCTGTAGTTCAGGACGACTTGACGTTGATTTTGTTACGTTTTAGGCAACATAAATACGTTTTGTCTGCAGATGTGGAGAAAATGTACAGGTGCATAATCGTTCATCCTGATGACAGGCACCTTCAGCAGATAGTCTGGCGTAACAGTCCTAGTGAGCCTATACAGACCTTTCAATTAAATACTGTTACGTACGGTACGGCGAGTGCACCATTTCTCGCAACACGCTGCCTGAAACAACTTGGTCTACAGTGCAAAAACAAAGCCATGGCGGACATCATAATGCATGATTTTTATGTCGATGATCTGCTTACGGGTGCTGATGACTTAGATGACGTAAAGGCCATACGTAAAGGGGTTGCCGAAGTATTGGCATCTACTCGTATGCCATTGCGAAAGTGGAGATCGAACGATCCCGAGTTGCTGTCAGAAATTGCCAATTCATCACTTGACCTAAATATTGCTTCTCGCGAAACAGACAAGTTGTTAGGTCTTGGCTGGCATTCGGATTCAGATGAACTCTGCTTTCCACTGAATTCACTAGTTCCCGATGGCAATACTAAGCGTGATTTGCTTTCAGTGATTGCACAAATCTTTGACCCGCTGGGTCTTTTAGCCCCGTATGTAATCACCATGAAAATTTTGATACAAAGGCTTTGGTTAGACAAACTTTCATGGGATGAACCACTGTCTCCCGAAATTAAGAAACGCTGGTATGGCATTATCAAATCTCTTCCTTTTTAAATAACATTCGTATTCCACGACTAGTTATTTGTGAGTCATACCGGGTGCTGCAACTGCATATTTTCACTGACGCTTCTGAGTGCGCATACGGTGCGTGCATTTATGTTCGAAGCATCAGCGATAACGGACAAGTTATGGTCAGATTATTAACGGCTAAGAGCCGTGTAGCACCAATCAAACCCACAACAATACCACGATTGGAGCTGTGCGGTGCATTGGTAGGAGCTCGTCTTTATGAGAAGGTTGTAAATTCCCTTCGTGTTAAAGTTGATCAAGTCTACTTTTGGACAGACTCCACGATTGTTTTGGTGTGGTTGCGAATGTTGCCTTGTAAACTTCAGCCTTTCGTGCGTAATCGTGTCGCTGAAATTTTGGATAAGGCCAGTGACCATAAGTGGGGATACGTCCCAACAGATAGGAACCCAGCAGACTTAATATCTCGTGGTGTAGATATCAGTGCTCTGGCAGGTCTTAGATTGTGGTGGTCAGGTCCAGAATTTTTATTGCATGACATATCAAAATGGCCTTCTCAGCCTAAGAATGTTGAAACATTGCCGGAAACGCGTCATAATATTATATTAACTGCAGTCACTGCTCATCCAAAAAATAATGATTGTTTCATTGATTTTAGTCGTTTCTCGAATTATTCACGCCTTGTACAACCCATAGCTTACGTTTTACGATTCATTATGTCTTGTAAAAGACAGCTTATTTCTTCAAATTACTTAACGGAATTAGAATTACGAAACGCGTTAAATATCATAATTTCAAAATTCCAATATAATTCCTTTTTCAGATTATAAATTGCTTCTGAATAAACAAAACTTACCTAAGAAAAGCCCACTTCTTAAATTTAATATATTTTTAGACGAAAATAAAATTACGCGTGTTGGTGGTCGTCTTGATAATTCTAAATTTTCATATAATAAAAAGCATCCTATATTATTACAGTCCAATCATATATTTACAAAATTATTATTTGACCATGAACACAAAAGGCTAGGCCCACAGCTACTGTTGGCAAACATTAGAGATACTTATTGGCCGATAGGTGGTCGAAACTTAACGAAGGCCCGTTATCATAAATGCATACGATGTCATCGCATGAAGGGTAAGGTTTCGAATCCACTAATGGGCAACTTGCCACAGCAACGTCTTCTTTCGGGTGGCTTTCCTTTTGAGACCGTAGGAGTCGATTATGCGGGCCCTGTTATGAGCGCCACTCGTCAAGGTCGTGGGTGTCGACTGATAAAGTTTTATATATGTATTTTCGTCTGCTTCACTACCAAGGCAATTCATTTAGAGTTGGTAGGTGACTTAACGAGCAATTACTATTTGCTGTCATTGCGCAGGTTTATAGCTCGAAGAGCTAAGCCAGTTAATATTTATTCCGATAACGGTGCTTCTTTTGTTGGTGCATACAATGACTTATCTAAATTTTTAAAGGGCAATTGCGATTCTTTGAGCGAAAGTATGGCAAATGATAATATTAACTTTCATTTTATTCCGGCGTATACTCCTCACTTCGGTGGTCTCTGGGAGGCGGGGGTCAAACCGACAAAATATCATTTGCTTAGAGGCAATTGTCACTTAACGTATGAAGAACTTTACACCACGTTGACCCAGATCGAAGCAATATTGAACTACCGGCCACTCACTCCACTATCTTCACATCCTGCAGATTGTACGCCCTTCACTCCGGGACATTTTTAATTGGGCGTGCGCTGACTTCTTTGCCGCAACCGGAATACCAGCATCAATCCACTTCGTTATTAAACAGATTCCAACGCATTGAGCAACTGCGTCAGCATTTTTGGTAACGATGAAGCAAGGAGTACGTCTCAGAACTTCAACAAAGAGTAAAATGGCGTTATTGCAAAGATAGCTTAAAGATAAACGATTTGGTGGTAGTCAAGGAGGACAACCTTCCGCCGCTGAAATGGAAGCTGGGAAGAGTCGTTGCAATTCACCCAGGAGCCGATGGCATTGTTCGAGTTGCAGACATCAGAACTCCTACTGGGTTTATCAAGAGGGCATTTAACCGGATTTGTCCATTGCCGGTGTCATTTAATTCTGGTTGAAATCTAAGATTTCAACGCCCGGGGCATGTTGAAGCGCCTGCGCCTTCTTTCTGAGCAAAGAGTTAAACAACATACTTGTAGTAATTACGTCTGTACTTAACGTTAATTTTAAACAGGTTCTTTGTCTTTGCAATATTTTATCATCCTCTCAGCTGTTGTAAGATCAATACAATCGTCCAAGAACACATTCAAGTTGCATTATTTTAAAATTCCCGTAAACTCCCGAACATCCATCGCTTAACATAGCTCTCCTAATTGCACCTCATAAAGGAATTTTCGCCACATTTTTCATGCAATGCAAGCGAGTTAAACTGTAGGTTTTTATTATTTAGAGTATTTCAGGAAGATACTGGAACCCATCTCCTGCTTTAGTTTCATCTGTCACTACCTTTTACGACACTCACGGGATTATATTATAGGGTTGTGGATTTATTATAAAAATGTCCCTCAAGTTTCGAAGAGCAGTATGGCTCTCGTTCTAAATCAAGCACACTTACAGTGGAATAGATTTAATCTCAAAATAAAAACAAATATTGATATTAAGAACATTGTTTTAGTGATCTTTATCTACTTGAGAAAGGCTTTCGATACGGAAAGCCATCAAAAGTTACTGAAGAAGTTAAATAATATTGCTGTAACAGGTACAGCTCTGAACATGTTCACATCGTCCTTACAAAATGCAGATACGTTGTCACCCGTGAGGACTAAGATGGAATGCCTCGTTAGTGGTAAAAAAGTCTTCGTTTTTGTACACTCACCATACGAAACACAACAGCACGAAGATGCTATTTCACGATAGCATTCTGCGACTGCGCATTCAAACCGCGGTCGAGCTGGCCTAAACGTGGTACAACTATAATAAAGCTGCAGCGTGACTCCACTACATAAAATAAGTTTGACGAACAAGACCAATCCTAACGAAATATTTTCAGCAAGCAAAATTTCACCGGTTGATGAAGAAATAAAAAAAGAAGTAACTGATAACAAAGAAAGAAACTATCGCAAAGTTAAATTAAAATATATTTCAATTATTTTGTGTTGAATTCGATGAACTTATTTTCATGAAACAACTTACTTTAAGTTTGCTTTAAAAGATAATTTTTTTGATATCATTACTATTCTATAGACATGTCGCATTGTTATGGTCAAATCAAAGGATTTTTGATCAAAAACCGGAAGAAGACAACCTACTTTACTTCTTTATGTTATCACAAGCCTGAGAAAATCCAGTTTTTTGATCAAAAATCTGGACTGATTTAATTTGCCTAAAGCCTCTTAGCCGTGGCTTGGTCACCGGTCACTCCCACCGACTAAAACCATATGGTGTTCCAACTGCACCATATATTAGCAGGTTTACGGGAACGCTTTTCCACACATCCGTGATCTCACGAGCTGCCGGCCGCGCCTTGGCAGCGCCTTCTCGTGGAGGACAACTCCTACCTCTTCTTCATCATAAGTAAGGTGCACCCCTACCACCACAGTCCACCAACGTGCATCGATTAAGAATATGAGTGGAGCCAAGTGAGTTCCTCCTGCCACGACAAGGTGGGAACCTGTTCGAGGGGAAGCAAACTTAACCTAAGTTTAAATTTTGTCATTAACCTAAACAAGTTAAAGTTTATGATCAAAAATAGTCTTTTTTAAGGTTAATGATAAGTAATTAATAGTGGTTTGATCTATACGTATGCATAAAATTGAAGTGTGTGTATCTGTAATATTGACGGCTTTATTTTATAATTAATAGTAATTAATAGAATCATGCGTTACTTTGCGGAAATCCATTATATAAAAGGTTTTTAAAAGTTACTTCACAAACATCCGCTCTATAAAATAAAATGATGTGTCTTACCTAGTATTAAGAGCACCTCCCGCCCTCCCTCAATTGCGGGCACTATCCCCGTCACCACTAACTACCACTACTCCCAACACCACTACACTAGGAAAGACACACCACTGACTTAACGGTCAGCCACCGTAGAGTCTACATCACCTGAGGATGCCTCGTGTAGAGGCGAAACACGTTTCGTATTGTCGTCATACATTATTAGATAGATACATTATTATTTAATTTAAAAATGTTACACTTTTGAGATTTCTTTAATCCGTCATTATATAGTCACACTCTAGATTAAATGAAATATGAGGCAAAAATATATTAAGTTTAATTTAGCTATATTATTATATGGTATAAAACAAATTTTACTCCATGTATAATGTTCGCGTAAATAAAAGAAATCATTATAATATTATTATCCTTCATAAAAAATTGTCACACACATAAACATACAAGTTACAGTAAGTACAAGTACATTTTGTGACATTTAAAATCAGACTTCCAACAAATAAAAAAGCCTAAATTAACGGAGAAATTTTAAAAAAACCCTGCAATCAAAAATGAAAATATATTCTGTAGAAGTACAAATTTCAGTCCGTACTAAAACAACATTGCAAAGTTAAATTACAGTTAAGACCGCGTGTTCTTGTTTTGTCCGTTTAAAATTGGTTTTTGATAGTCAAATTATTACATTTAGAACATGAAAAAAAATTTTTTAGACATTCTTTCTCCTTGCGATGCATCCGGTCAATACACGATACTACAATTTTCTCGATTGAAAAAATTACCGAACGAAGTTCGATTTGCATATAAACCAAATTTCATTTTAAAGAAGTACTAATACTCCTTTTTTCTATTAAAAACATCAATTTTTAGGTAATTCATTTTGGAATCGATTCCATCCGACGTTTTTTTTCCTCACATTTATTAAAAAAATTATCGATTATTCAAGTGATTTTCGATCCGCGTCGCTTGATAGTGTCCTGTAGGACACTAGCAAGCGACGAGCGGTGTGCGTCCCCTTGACAGTGTGCCGAGGTAAGAGACCTGAACCAAATTTTTGCACTCGCACTTTTGCACTTCTG